ATGAAACGTTTCATCTCTCTTCCAAGAGACTTCTAGTTTCAGGCAAAATTCAGGCTTTTAAGTCCTGCGTTCACAGGTGACTGATACTCACATCACATGGCTATCGTTCACAGGTGACTCATACCCACATCACATGGCCATGGTGATGTGCTCTCAGACTGAAGAAGTCTCTTGGAAGAGAGACGAAACGTTTCATTAAAGAAGAACCCGTCCAGAGGACCTATACAATTTTTTTTTCCTTTGCATTACAGTACTTACGGTAAGTCGTTTTTTTGAGGATCTGTAATTTTACCCAATTATTTTTTAAAATCCTAACTTACTTTTACTTAGTTCATTTTTTCTAGTACTTCATATGCCTCTGGATGTACTTTGTCCAACACTGACTGCTGGTCTGAGGGAAAAGAATAGAAACTGCTCACCATATTTCATGCCAGAGTTTTGAACTAAGATCTTTATTAAAAAGAAGGGACCAAGTTTTATAGCTCAATAAGAATAAACTTGTGCATTTTTTAGTGATCTTATGAGACAGGACAGCACTCTAAGAATAGACCATTTCATAGTTACAAATGTGCCAAGCGGCCGGGTCACAGATCATGCAAATAAATGATGAGGTTGCTATGGAGACCTGGTAAATTTACATCTTTATCCAGACTTGATATATTTGCTCTAAACTAATTCGTGTTAAACTGTCCTTTAAGATCACAGATTACATTTTTCATAAATACTTTAAAGCTATTAATCTGATTTTTGAGCTTGTTTTGTTGCATTTTGTTGCCACAGTTGAGAGTTTTTATTGAAATGTAAAGTAGGTAGTGTAGGAAATAACATAATCAAATAGTTTGAATATCTCAGGGCTTGCTCAGCTCATTTATGTGAGCAAATAATAAAATTCAAAATAAACTGAAAACCTTTACAATGAATGCAGTACTTATATTTTATTGGTAAATGCATCAATATCAAGTAAAAAATAATGTCATTAAATTTAAAAATAATTTTTCTTGCAAATACAAACTTAAAAGTGCACTTTGTATTATTAACCGTCATCATCATCGTCATTTCATCTCATTCAGTGTTTTTTTTCTGCCAGAATTCACTAAAAAAAATCAGATAAACAGAAAAAATGCAGTTGCATCTGTCAAATTCAACAAAAAAACGTGAGTCTGTTTTTACTGATAATCCTCTGTCCTCTGCATACAATGCTGTGCACATAAAACTACAAAATGATCTATTTGCTGGGGAAGACTCTCAGATACAAACACACCAAAATTTAGCTCAAAATCTGTAAAATGACCTGAATTTTCTGAATAATTTCTTTAATTTCTGTAAAATTAGCCATTTTTGTGTTGGTTGATGTTTCTTAGCTGTGATGACCATTTTGAATGGGGTTGACTCCAAAAGTTTATCAGTTGTAGATGTGCATATAATGATTAATTTTTGAGAGTTTCATTAAAATCCAGTGACTGGTTCATACAATATTTTGTTAACACAACAAACAACCTTCAGCTGCACCAGTGGCAGGTGATAACAAACCACCATGTTTTTAATTGTTTTTAATGACAGCATTTCACTGTTTTATTGGCCAGAATTAAACTCCTTTTATTCAAATGAACACCAGTTCAAAAACGTTATCCACAACAGGTAAGATGCTAACTGATCATAAATTTTACACCGAAACCTACTTCTTTAGATCTGAACTTTGCTTAAAGTTATTAGAAAATGTCTGAGTTATGACCTGTCGGAGATCTTCAGGGTTCTCATAGAGGTTCTCTGCTTCGCCTGAACGAACCGACAGTGACTGCTCAATACCTGAGTACAGAAAGAGAGTCTCACTGAGGAACACACACACACACACACACACACATGTTTGTTTCTCGACCCCGTGGGGACCTTCCATTGACTT